AAAACTGTGCGAAAACAGCGTATTTTAAAGAGGGTTATGTAAATGGGAAGCGTTAACTTGTGTCTTGGATGCCGGATGGCTGTGTTGCCACTAGGTGGCACTCAAGGACCACCCAAAATAAACGAATTATATATATATTTCTTTTTTTAGAAAAAAAAATAGTTCTGGTCCGATGAGATAAGTGTTTATTTCTTCCCTTTGATTTGCGTCCCAACTTTTCTCCAACTAAAGGTGACCTACACGTAGCATTCTAACCATCACGGCTTCTTTAGCATGATGATGATAACTCCAGTGTGGAAGGACAGATTCCTCTAACTGATGACAAACACCTGTGCTCGTTTCTGCCCCTCCCTTCTCAGCCCTCCCCCATCATCAGGACAATCCATCTGCCTGTTCTGACTGAGGCTTTCCCAAAAAAGCACGAAGCAGATTCCTGGTCCCGACAAAATCCCTTTTTATTAAAAGAATGTGAATTCCTCCCAGTCACATTCAGCAAAGGCCTGGCAAGCAGTCTTTCAAAAGTGAAGTTATGACCACAGACCTTATCTAGCTTGGAAAGCTGCCTATAAATATTTCCCAAACGCAGTGCAGTGCAAGGAAAGGCTTGGCACAGAGTCCCTGAGATTCACAGACAGATCTTCACACTCCTGAAACGAATGAACAAAGGAATTGTTTCCTGCAAAAGCCCGTTCCTCTTTAGCTCCCTCTTTCGTTTCCTATGGGAGGGGACATTCACCGTCCACCTGTGGATTTACGCCCAAGTCGACCCTCATTTCTGAGCTGTTCTTTTCTTCTGGCTGTTCTGCACATGTGCACACTGGGAACAGGCTCCAGTTGTTCCTCTGCCTCACTGCTCTCTAGATCCGAAGGCAGCTGAGAACTGCCAGACGGCATCGGTCCCATCTCTGCCTCTGATGCAGAGCCCTCATCTGAGCCTTCCCCAGCCTCCAGGACTGGCCTGTGTTCCTCCCCAACCTCCTCACTGTCCGACTCTGCTGCCAACTCCACTGGTCGCTGGTGGGCCACAACACTGCCAATCCAATTGGAGTTGTCAATCAAGCACCCACATTTAAATGAACTGTCATAAATCGAGGATTACCTGTATTGATAAAGTCTTGGAGCTGTGTAGGTCAGGGGTTTCCAGCCCCCGATCCATGGACCACCACTGATCCATGGTATGCCGCGCAAACAAGCAAAGTCCCAACTACAGGATGCAGGCAGCATGCAAAACCACACCCTCTCCGGTGAATGTAAAAAAACCTTTCTCCAGTCCCTGGTGCCCAAAAGGTTAGGGGCCACTGATGTAGATGATATTATCATTATGCTAAAACAACTCCTGCAGATAAAGCTGCAAAGAAGGAAGCTAAATGAACCTGAAACAGATATTTAATAAAGAGTGTTGTGGCCTATCGGCCACTGGCCCATCCGGCAGTGGAATCAGATGAGGAGGAGGCATGGGAGTTAGCATCAAGGCAACCTGGGAGCTCCGAGGGGGAAGAGGGAGTGGAGGTGTCAGAGAGAGAGAGACACACACACACACACAGAGAGAGAGAGACAGAAGAGAGAGAGAGACAGAGAGACAGAGAGAGAGAGGCAGAGAGACAGAGAGAGTGAGGCAGAGAGAGACAGAGAGACAGAGACAGAGAGAGACAGAAAGACAGAGATAGACAGAGAAACACACAGAGAGACAGAGACAGAGAGACAGACAGAGAGAGACAGAAAGACAGAGAGAGAGAGACAGAGAGACAGAGAGACAGAGAGACAGGGACAGACACAGACAGAGAGACAGAGACAGAAAGACAGAGAGACAGAGACAGAGACAGAGACAGAGATACAGAGAGAGACAGAGAGACAGAGAGACACACAGACAGACAGAGACAGAAAGACAGAGAGAGAGAGACAGAGAGACAGAGAGACAGAGAGACAGGGAGAGACACAGACAGAGAGACAGAGACAGAAAGACAGAGAGACAGAGACAGAGACAGAGACAGAGATACAGAGAGAGACAGAGAGACAGAGAGACACACAGACAGACAGAGACAGAAAGACAGAGAGAGACAGAGACAGAGAGACACACAGACAGAGAGACAGAGAGAGAGAGACAGAGACACAGAGAGAGACAGAGAGAGTGAGGCAGAGAGAGACAGAGAGACAGAGACAGAGAGAGACAGAGAAACACACAGAGAGACAGAGACAGAGAGACAGAGACAGACAGAGACAGAAAGACAGAGAGAGAGAGACAGAGAGACACACAGACAGACAGAGAGACAGAGACAGAGAGACAGAGACAGAGACAGAAAGACAGAGAGAGACAGAGACAGAGAGACACACAGACAGAGAGAGACAGAGAGACACACAGACAGACAGAGACAGAAAGACAGAGAGAGAGACAGACAGAGAGACACACAGACAGAGAGACAGAGACACACAGACAGAGAGACAGAGAGAGACAGAAAGACAGAGAGAGAGAGACAGAGAGATAGAGACAGAGAGAGACAGAAAGACACAGAGAGAGAGAGAGACACACAGAGAGACAGAGAGACACAGAGACAGAGACAGGGCCGTCCGTCAGCCCTCAGGTGGAGACTCAACAGCATCCAGGTCTGGAGGTGGCTGATGAGGAAGAGGAGGAACAGCTGAGTCCAGTCCCTGACGCACAGATGCCCAGAAGTCAGAGGAGAGGAGAGCAGTGGAAATCTATGGGCCGGTCCTTGGGATGAAAGAGCCACCGCTGCTAGCAAAGCCCCCCTCTAGCTCTGGGGATAAAAGGCAGGGGGAGGAGATGAATAGATGTGGCACATAACTATTCTCCTCCCTGCTGGACAGACTTGTTAGCCTGCTGTGTGTGTGTGTGAGAGAGAAACTTTTTGCCGAGGCTGCTGGTGCTCCTTATAAAGAAATTGATTTAAATGCAGAGGATTTGTTGTCTTTGGTGAGCTGGGTCAGAACATCTAGGTTTTCATACCGTCTATTTTCAAATGAATCCTGGGTCCTTTCTTCGGGCAAGATTTGTTCTCTGTCTCTCTGCACAGACATCTTCGTACTGATCGCCTCCGTCCCCGTAGTAGCTGTTGGAAACCAAGGCAATGTCCTAGCTACATCTCTGAGAAGCCTCCGTTTCCTCCAGATCCTAAGGATGCTGCGTATGGACCGCAGAGGGGGCACCTGGAAGCTTCTGGGATCAGCTATTTGTGCACACAGCAAGGTAAGGAGAGAATATTGGCAGCTCAGGGTTGGAGTGGTGTGGTGGCCTAGAGGTGGGGCTCTCGCCTCACAGTCAGGAGGCTGTGAGTTCGATCCCAGGTAAAGGCACATATTTATCTCTCTGGATATATGNGTTTAGAATATGTTATATGTTTAGAATATGTTATAAAGATGTAAAGTTATGGTAGACTCATTGAGATTGTGAAAGTATGCCAGTAGGTGGTTGTGTCTTTAAATATAAATGATTTTAGAAAAAAAAAAAGTTTAAGTAACTGCAATCAAATACAGTGATAGTAAAATACATAAATTCTAAAATGTACAACTTAATTTGAATGAAGTATAGGTAATGATTGTATCTGTAGCAATGGACACGCTTTCTACAAGATGTAACGAAAGATGATTCGTTTTTTTTCTTTCTTTGTGTGTGTAATAAAAACAATAAAAAATCTTTTTTAAAAAAAATCACGTAACCCTAATGAGACGGCAACTGTCATAAATACGACTCGGTTGCCTTCTGGTGCTTTGGAGAATAGGTTGATCCCCTCTTCTTTGGGGCAGCCCTTCAAATACTGGAATACTGCTATCATGTCACCCCTAATTCTTCTATTCTTTAGACTATCCAAACCCAAATCCTGTAGCCGTTCTTTATATGGTTTAATCTCCAGGCCTTTGATCATCTTAGTTGTTCTTCTCTGAACTTCTCCCAAGGTCTCAGAATCTTTTTTGTAGTCTGGTGACCAGAATTGGTTGTACTATTCCAGGTGTGGCCTGACTCTTACTAGGGTTTTATAAAGCAGCACTAATACTTCATGTGATCTTGATTCTATGCCTCTGTTTATATAACCCAGGATCATATTAGCTTTTTTGGCAGCTGCTGCACATTGCTGGCTCATCTGTTGGTGGATGTTTTGTGGTGTTATGGTTAATTTTCTAGTTTTCACCCTGCTTTAGCTGAATGCATTATTGTGTCAGACCTGGAAGCCATCTTTTACCTTTGGGACTTCAGGCCTGCCACATTTATTGCTGTGGGAAATTGGGAGGGGAGATTATATGGAGTATGGGAGATATATATCTAAATAACTTTCCTTTCTCAGCGAGTCAAGAACATCCTGCCCTGCACTTGGAGTGGCATGACTGGGAGGCATCTCAAGTTGGGATAGTGCCGGATTGGGACATGTGATGGACATGTGGGTGCTGGGCAGAGGCTTGGACTTTTTTGGGGGTGGGGAAACTTTCAGATTTGGGGTTCCCCAGATGTGCCAATAGGACATCTCTAATAAAATGGAACTTTGAGGAAACTGAAGCCTTTTGTTGGGGGTCTGTCTTGCAACCCTGACATACTGTTTGTGAATAGATGTAGAAATAGATGTAGAAATAAGATGGCACATGATATTGATCATTGTTCCATGTTTGTCCTTGGTGGCCTCTATGGCTCCTGCCATGGAGCGCTTCCACCAGCTTTCACGGATGAAACCATATGGAGTGTTCCACGCCCTGGAGATTTCCAGAGTTGAATACTGTAATCCAGTGTTTCTTAAGGTGACCAGATTTTCAGATTGGTAAAGAGGGACACCATTGACCGGGAGGGGGGGCCCTTGATTAAAAATTTTATATTTTGTCAAACATGACCCC